GAGAATTGCATCTCTACAGTATTGATTGTCCTAATCCATGAACATGATATATTCCTCCATTTATTTAGGATTTTAAATCTTTATTTCCAAAATACTTTATAGAAAAAAAAGAATTCTGCTTACAGCAATGGTGGACAAGTTTGCTTTGAACCAACTTGCCCACTGAGAACAAATAGAAAAGGAGGCTAAAATATTTAAAAAAAAAAAAATTTGAGGGCACTGGAGAGCTATCAAAGCTGTGAGAATTTATGGAGCCAAGATCCAGAGGAAAGGAGGAAAGGTAAGAAGTGTGAGGTCAGTGTTCGGTACGACTTTTCCCCTCACAGTGGGTTGCCCGGCCCAAAAGCTGTGGCTAAGAGCCTGAGCAGCTGTGTAGCTATTAGTCTCCAAGCAGCTGTTCGATGGACTCCCCTCATCTCACCCTGTTCATGTGCAGCTTGAGAGTCAGCCAAGGACCTAGGGGAGAGTCTTTATATGGATCTGGAGGCTCTCTAGCACCCGTCTCCAATATTCTTCCCTGCAAATCCCATCTCCGTGACAGTCCTGCATGCTAGTCTGTTTCTTCCACCCAGCCATTCTGCCGCTTCTGTTTGGGCTCGTTTCCTGTACTGTGGTTGAAAAGTGACCTCAGGGAGAAATCTGGGTTGAATGTAGGACTCGCTGCATGTGCTTCCCTTGTCTCAGTGATCAGAAGCCCTGCATGGACTGACCAGGACAAATTCCTTTACCTTTATTCTTGAAGATGATTTTCACTGGGTATAGGCTTCTAAGTTGGTGGTTATTTTTTTTTTAGTGCTTTGGAGATATCATTACATTGTCTTCTGGCTTCTTTTATTTATGTTGAGAAGTCAACTGTCTTATTCTTGCACTCTTAAAGATAATATGTCTTTTTTCCCCTTTGTACTTACTTTTCTTCTTGAATTTGGTTCACAGCACTTTTACTCTAATATGCCTAGATGCGATTTTGTCTTCATCTAGTTTGGGATTCATGTATCTCAAATCTATGAGTGGGTAGGTTTTGTCAGGGAAGTTTGTTATTCTTTTTCTCTTTAAAAATTGATTTTCCCCATACTTTATCAACTCTCTTTCAGGACCTCCAATTATGTGAATGCTGGCCCTTTTTACTCTATTTCCCACTCCTGGGAAACAATATCTTATTATGCAAGAATCCATTATAGCCACATGGGAAGGATTTGACAAATCAATTAGTCTTTCTCTTACTGAAACAGTTTTGCCACTCAAATTCTCCTGTACTTGGAAGCAGTGTCCATCTCTGACGTTAACAGTGGCAAACCCCACAAAACTTCGTGAAATTTAGACAGTCACCTATTGTTTCAAGGACAAAGGGCAAAAGATGTGGAGAATTTTCCTGGTCACACAGTTAAATATTTAAGGTTATAGGCTGCACTATGTGATTGGCAGACTCTGAGTGACAGAGGACCCACATGCTCCATGATAAATATGCGTGTATTTGTGATAAGCTGGGCCCTGTAATGCATGGGCCCCAAGGCAGGAGCCCATCTTACCTGGATCTAAGGGTAAGGTTTCTCTGTCTCAACACTGTTCATATTTGGGGCCAGATTATTCTTTGTTGTGGAGGTCTGTCCTGTGCATTGTCGGATGTTTAGCAGCATCCCTGGCCTACATACCCACCGCATACCAGTAGCACCTCCCAGTTGTGACAAACAAAAATATCTCGACATTGCCAAATGTTCCCTGGGGGGCAAAATCCCTCCTGGTTGAGACCCACTGGTCTAAGGAGAACACTCGGACAAGAAAGACCCACATCTACGTTCCACTTGGAACTTAATACCAATAGTCTGCTTTATAAAAGAAAGCACAGCGCCGGTTCAACTAGGGACAAGGGTGTGTTTTCCCTTGGCTTTGGCTGTTTGGAAGCTCAAAGCTAAGCTTCATTTTCACTACGTTAACTGTGAGCCTCAGTTTTCAGGACTGATCTTGTTTCTAATATAACAATCCTTTAGGAAATGGCTTCACATAATTTGAAAAGACTGGCAGGCAAAATGTCTCCATATGAAACTCGGCCTTAGGAGGCAACATCTTGGTACTGGCAACAGCACAAGAGGCACCCTCTTCAGTAGTGTGAGTTGGGCTCCTTGAAGCAGCTTTGAGGGCAGTGCACAAGTTCTGGGAGTTGGAGAGAATAGGGAAGGCAGTGTTGGTAACTGTGGTGGCCATACCTCGTGAGGTATTCCTTTGGTTTTTCCCATGCTAGAAGTAACTGTGGAATGCTTTCCAAGAGTGGGGTGGGGAGCTGAAGTTCAGAAATCAAACAAGTCATAGTAATTTGGACATTAAAAGTGAATGTGTACTTCCAGTTTCAAGACAGAAGAGTGAAGTCATTTCTCTCTTCTCTTGGAAATCACCCCGAAGCAACAAGAATAAGAAAAGGAAGTGCAAACTACAGCTTAACAAAACCAGGAGACACTTGAAATTCAACTCTAAAATGGGTGAGAGTTGAAAAAGTAGTGAACATCAAAGGAGAGTACAGGGGGCTGCCTGCCTCTGCAGAATCTGAGAAACCTAGCTAAAGTGTCTTCTGTAAGGTGAGGCTGTTTGCAGGACCAGTCTGTTGGAGTGGCAGGAAGGGAAGAGAGACTCTGCAATGTGAACAGGCCTATAGTGAGGTTCACACATATAACTACGGATCATGAAAAAAATTTCTACGAGCTTGACCCCTCCCCAACGTGAAAATCCTACAAAGACCTGAGAAGAAATTCATTTAAAGATGAGTCACCAGTTTTCCCTATCTAGGTAAATGGAAATTCCATTCTTCCAAAAGTTCATTCTTGACTCCTCTCTCACATGCTCCATCCAATTTTTTGGCAAATACTGTTGGCTCTAATACATCCAGAGTCTACTTCTCATTATCTCCACCATTGCCACCCTAGTCCAAGTCCCTGTGCTCACCTAGAATATTGTAATAATTTCATAACTGTGTTCTCGATTTTCACCGTTGACTCCCTGGGTTTTTTTTTCCCCCAAAAACAGCCACTTAACTATATTAGATCATGTCACTCTAGCAGAAAACTCTCTAATGTCTTATTTTCCTCAGAATAAAATCCAAAGTTCATATCATGGCTTTAAAGATCTTATTCCTGCTCTCTCTCTGAACTCACCTCACAACCCTCTGCTGCTCCTAGCTTATTCTGTTTGTTTCATTGCATCCCTTTACCCTGTTTTCTTAATACTGATCACATCTGATATATATTTATTGTGTCTTCCCTCCAGGGACTGACTCAGTTCACTGCTGTGCTCCCAGTGGCTAGAACAGTGCTTAGCACAAAGTATGTGCTCAGTAAATATCTGCAGTTGATCAATCAATAAAAAACTAGCACAGGCTTTGTATAAGGATATTAAAATAGAAAAGGATAAAGAAAAATAAATGGCAGATGAAGAACATTCACCAGGAAATATTGTCTCAAAATAGTTGAAAAGTATGATTAAACATTTCATGACCTTAATATCTTAATGGAAGATTCATCTCTATAAAATGAGTAGACATCAGAAATACAAGATATGATGAAACAAGAGAGACGAGCTGGCAGAACTCAGGAAAAAAATTACAAAATAATCATTAAAATGAATATAAAATTGGAATAAGAGTATACAGTGCTCAAATCCTAAGGGGAACAGAAAACAGGGATTAAACTGAAAATGACATGGAGATAGGAAATGCAACACACACACAATTCAAAGTCCTAAAGGAGAAAATTTTCTGTTTTTACAGAAACAAGCATTGAGAAACCTTGCTTGCATGAAAAAAGTAATAGGTTTTATAAATCTGATTCAATCCTCTGAACTCTTGCAATTTGGGCCAAATATCACAGTGATCTTTCATCAAAATGTATTTCTAATAAATCTATCAGCTGACTTTAGTTCTCTGCCAATTTCATTGAGGGCATCTAATTGGAAATGGGTAGACTTGCAAAAGGAGTCATTTAGGCCTCAACACCAAGGTTTCCAATTGTCCCTTTGTTTGAAGGCATGAGACATTACTTCCTGGGATATAATTAAATCACAGTGAGGCAAAGCTGCGTGGCTGAGAGGTATTGCTTTGCTTTCCTCTTGTGCAAGAAAGGCTACCGTCAAAGGAGTCGTTTTCAGGGAGACCCTGAACGTGCATATGGAAGTACAGGGTCAGGAAACTAATTCTGTTGAACCCCTTCAGGTACCCGAGAAGTGTATATTCATTTGAAGACTACTGGTTTACAATGCCAAGTGCTGCTAACAGTCAAGCAAGGAATGAACTGAAAAATACATTTTAGGAAGAATCATTGATTTGGTTAAAGTAGTTTTCAATGCAGTTCTATCAAAATTGGGTAGAAGCCATGCTGCAGTGGATTGAGGAGGGGTGGGCAGTGAGGAAGTAGAGACAGTAATAGAAACAAGTTATTAAAACTGGAGTAGTTTTTTTAAATTCAATTCTGGGAGAACTGAAGGTACAGAAGAAAGTTTGAAGTGATTGTTCTGATTAAGCAGAATTTTGAGAGCAGAAAGGTCACATTTGAGTAAATCTGAAGAAATACCAACTACCTGGTCGACATCAGTGACCACTTACACACAGGGGTTCAGTTCCATTACTCACTTGGAAGGAGTGTATTTCAGGTAAGAAATTACCAGTGATAGAGAAAAGGTGCCATTAAACTCTCCACTGAATAGTTGTTTCACTGCATAAAGATAATTTGTATTTTCCCACCCGGTACTTTTTCAGTAGGGATATCAAGATGGCATGGCATCCGTCTTCTTTTAATGTCCCCCCTTCCCCAATTTGATAAGGAAAAAAAACCCCAAAACCCAATGTTCATGCTTAAAAGACACCCACAATGTTTAATGTGGTGCTGGGACACCAGGCCACATGGACCAACAGACCTAAATTTATTCCAATCTTGAATTATGTTAATGTCCAATAATATATGAATTAATTGGTATGAGGATTTCTCTATTTGGAGATGAATAAAAAAGGTCTACCAGTGTAGTTATTTTAGAAGGTGGCTCTTCTATTTACACATAAGAACCAAGACTTAAAAACAACCCAGCATATTTAAACAATAAATTGATGAAAATACTTCTAAAAACATAATTCTGGTCTCTCCCTCTTCCATTCTTAAACATAATTCAGTCTTCAGTTCCTACTTGTTAGTTGTAATAAGCAACCCTACAGACTATTTAAAAGTCAGTGGCCAAACTGAAATTTGTTGAATAAAGCCAAACTTGTTTAAACCAAGTATTTGTTAAATATCATACATCCTGTCCACTACCCATTGACTCAGTATTTTACCATATAGGGTAGCACCTATTATAAAGCAATGTGAGAAATAAGAAAAAACAATTTAAAAACAAACATTTGGAGTTTGATATATGAAAAATATTTCAGGATGGATTGCATAAACCAGGAATCACCTGTTCTAGTTGCTATACTCCTCTAACACATTCTAAATTTCAAAATGACATAGGAATAATTAAAAATCAAACACATCAAACACATACTTAAGTATCTAGATATATAATAGTTCAGTAAACAAACAGGTTTGACTCAAGCCTTTGAACATGTTACTTAGAACATTATTTTGGACCCATTTACTCAAAGCTCCTTGACTTGGCCATAATGCAGTTTGTGTTAATCTGCTGTACAATCAACCCAAAACGGCAGTCAGATGATTCTAATCTCACTCCAACAGAAGCAGCAATAAAATCATAAAGCACTACTACTCTTTAGTAATTAGATAATCAAGATAACAGCACTGGGATAAAATGAAGAGAACTTGTTTCAACTTCTTGTTCAAAAAGCCTACTCCTCATTTTTAGATAATGAGGATAAAGGTAGGACAACCAAATATGGGAAACTGCTTTCTCTTTATTTAGGCCTTAGGAAGAAAATTAACTTTGGTCACACATTACCTTAAAAAAAAAAAAAATCCAGTTTTACATATTCCTAAATAGATAGGACCAAATGATCAGAGAAATAATTTCTTCTGTAAAAATTGGCCAAATTTTATCAAAAACCTAACATACAATGTAATTCAAATGCTATCAAGACTGCTTGGGATCATAACATTCCAAATGTATAAGAGTTTCAACTCCATGCTACCAAGTGGGAAAAGTATTTGCTCTCATGTTGCTTTGGTCCAAAAGAGGACAGCTGAATCAGTTAAGAGTAAACTAAGTACCTAAATCTTTTGCCAACATTACTTTAGATTGTTATTGGCAGCAGAAATATCCATGATGAATAGTTCTACTATAACAAAGTATAATAAAAGTATTTTTCATGAACACATCACAGTATCAGATAAACTTTTTATAAGAGAAAAGTATGAAGGAACAAAGAGATGAAACAGCTACTACAAACAAAAAATAGTATCTCCCCCATAACTGTATTTAAAGGGGTAAAAAGGTGAGATTGTTTGATGATGCTAATATGAAAGGAAATTGAGTACTGTATTTATTTCTTATTTTATACAACTCTCACTCTTTACAAAAATGGTTATAGTCATGCCCATAAAAGTGTAACCCATGGCATCTGAAAGCAAACACTCTTTGTAATTATTTAAAAGAGCCTTTTTAAAAATTATAATACAAAGGTCTGTGCTCTACAAGCAGTCCTCCACTGTGCATTCTAACAATAAGGCTTACTTTTAATACAAAGACTAAGTGTTTGCGAGTTATGAACCACTGGATTTAACAAACATCATTTTATAGTTGCTTTTTGCATCTTTTTTGCTTTTGGGATCCTCCACTTCATCAGGGTGCTCAGTAGCTTGGAGTTCTTCAGCAGATTCTTCTTTCTCTGACTCTGAGTCACTTTCAGAGTCATCTGGACTTTCAGGGTCAGGTGAATCATCATCATCATCATCATCTCCAGCCACATCACCTTCTCCATCATGATCTTCCACCTGGGAACATCAATCAACAGGCTCTTAAAATAAATACAATTAACCAGTACAAAAACTGGGAAAGACCCTCATTTTTGCCACAGTCTTAAAACAGCCCACTCTAGCCATTAAATCAATGACTATTATGATTAGAGGCTGCCAAGGGAAGGGCCGAGGACTCAGGCATCTTCCTGTGTTTTATACACTGGGACTTGAGTAGGATTTTGTTTTAAGAAAGGGCTCTAAAGGCCACTCACCTGTCCCCTCTCCCCCTAGTCTGAAAACAATGTATTATATCTTCCTGAAAGAAACAATATTTCTTAAAGTAAATACGGCAAGTTAACCACTGGTCCATGAAATGTGGAAAACAGTTATCAATGTTTTACATATTACTTTACTTTGGAGTAATTAACCAGTAGTTATAATATGGTAAGAGATGACTTAGGAAACAACTGAGAACTCTCCTTAACCAGTTTTTACATGAAATATTTCATCTAAGTTATTAGTATGTTGTTCATGCCTATTTAAGATGTGCCCTAATGATTATCTGAGCAGAATTTACAAAAAGTTTCTATCAGAAAATATATTTATAAAACTCAAAAATATCTCCATCTACAAAGATCTAGTTGGGTATATAAAAACGTTTTAAGTAACTGTATAAAGAAAGCTTTTGATACAGGATTCTTGATTGCTAGAGTAATCTAACATGTATAAAGGACATCAAATTGGAAATCGATCATCTTCCCGCTTAATGAAAATACATTAAGTACTACCTCACTGAAGCCAAGTCCACAATGTCGTCGATATCTTCCTGATAATTTACTGTCCATACTTTGCTGATACTGAGACTCCAGTTCTTCATTAATTTTCTTGTCTTCTTCCCCTGCATGTCCAGTGTACTTTGGTTATGTTTCAGTCAAATTAATAAAAATATGTGATTACACAAAACAACCCATAATACAGATGCTATTATATTCAGGGCTGATTTCTCTGTGACTAATTTTACAACGAATTTTGTGGATGGGTTTTTATACCACGAGTAGTTACCTAACAGACACAATATAACTGAAGACTGTATTTCTAATTACTTCTTTAGTAACCAACCTTCTGGACTACAAAAGTATTTATAAAAGGTGAAGAACTTCTATTTTTCCATGTGATAATTCAAACCAGCCATACGAGTCTCAGAACTCCCTGAAGACATTATAAATATGAATTACCAATAACTTTGAACATTATTTCTTTTAGCTTATTTATAGTCTAATAAACTGTTTCTCTTGAAAATGAAAGCTTTCTCCTAGTCACATACAAAAAAAACCTCCAACAAACAAAAGCTTGTCTTTAAACAGAAATAATGAAAAGGTGTGACATTCTGTTCAGAGAATAGCTATATAAAATGACCCTATAATGAATCTCCTTTATGCCTTTCTTTGCATATCAGTTTACTAAAACAACATAAACCTATTTATCACACATTTGATATATATTTTTTTATCTATTCTGTCGAATATAAGTTATGAAGCAGAATACTAAACAATCCCCATGAACTTACCTCTCAAGAACTGGAATAGTACCAATACCACTGAAGCTTTCTGTGCGTGACATTTTAATTTGTAAATATAAAAGAAATTTCACTTTTTAAACACAAATGGTATGCTTAGCATTATTTGTACTCATAAAGGCCCCAGTTTAAAAAAGTAAATGCAGCAGTGAAATATATTTCCATTCTACAAAGCTCAGGAACTCTTTGATTTTGTAGCAATGCAAATCAGTTTGAAATAACTGCTTAACACCAGAAAAATAAAAGACCTATTAATTTCTAAAATATGCTACATATTCTAGGTCAGTATAAAGTTAATTGAAGTAATTAAAAGTTTTGTTAAATATATCTAGGTCATTATGCCCTGTTGTTAATAATGTCAATTTTAAATAGTAGAAAACTTCACTTTTGAGCAGACTGAATTCAAATCCAAATTCAAATTCATTTCCAGTTTTTATTTAGTAAGTTTTTTCCCCTAAAATTAAAAGAAAGAGTTAATTTATTCAGGCTTTGCAATGAGTTTATATTCTTCAAAGATTTCAAAGTAAAACTCAGTGAATAAACTAAAAACCAGTATAATATGCCAACTAAAACACTGTTTACTAAATAACTTATAAAACTAAAAAGATCAATTTTATACATACTACAGTTGGCAAGATGAGGCATTAAAGCCTCACTACAATTAAAATACATATTGTGAATCAGTAAAAATGAAGACAAGAAAAGGTCAGTGCCTTGGCAGAATATTACATTGATGTATACTCTCAAATCTTTTTTTTTTTTTTTTTTTTAAAAGATTTTATTTTTTCCTTTTTCTCCCAAAGCTCCCCGGTATATAATTGTGTATTTTAGTTGTGGGTCCTTCTAGTTGTGGCATGTGGGATGCTGCCTCAGCGTGGCTTGATGAGTGGTGCCATGTCTGTGCCCAGGATTCAACTGGCGAAACCCTGGGCCGCCGGAGCAGAGTGCGTGAACTTAACCACTCAGCCATGGGGCTGGCCCCTCCCAAGTCTTTTAAAAAATCAAAGCATATACTAATTACATGCTTATATCTATTATATACATTTCCAATTCTAATATTTTAATCAACACAACTATACACAGAAGTTAGAATATCCCGAAATATTTACAAATATTTCATACTTCAAATTTAGCACCTCCACTTTAATTATATTTTACTTTCTTACCTGTTCGGAAGTGAGATGTTGATTTGTGATCTCCTATAACAAGACGACCAGTATGTTCTTTCTATAAGAAGGCAGAAAATGTATTAGAATTTGAGACCACTAATTTAACACAATCATTGAGTATCTACTATGTGCCTGACACTGTTCCATACTTCTGGGATACAGTGATGAAAAAGGACTAAATTAAGATCCCTGTCTTTACGGAACTTATATTCTAGCAAGGGTAGGGATGTGGAGGGGAAAAAAAATCAGTAAGTATAGTATGTTAGAAGGTAGTAAGTGCCATTAAAACAAACGCAGAGCAGAGGAAGGGGGTAAAGAGTACGTAGAAATCAAGTTGGAATTTTAAATGGGATGGATAGATAACTAGAAAATTGAGTCTGGGCCAGCCCCGTGGCCGAGAGGTTAAGTCCGCACACTCCACTTTAGTGGCCCAGGGTTTCACTGGTTCTGATCCTGGGCGCGGACATGGCACTGCTCATCAAGCCATGCTGAGGTGGCATCCCACACGACACAACCAGAGGCACTCAAACTAGAAGATACAACTATGTACTGGGGTGCTTTGGGGAGAAGAAGAGAAAAAAACAGAAGCTTGGCAACAGATGTTAGCTCAGGGCCAATCTTAAAAAAAATAAAGAAAACTGAGTCAATCTAAACATTTTCTTAAAACGCTTGTGAAATGAGTTGCTTTAACTTTCCCACTTTCTCTTTCTGATGCCTCAGACATATCTCATGGAGAGAAAGCAAATGAGATTATTTAGCTAGACAAAAATGAAATAATAGAATTACATGAACAAAGTGATAGATCTTCAAAATATAAAAAATGAAAATAATTAGTATTTACAACATCACAAATAGCTAGCTCATTTCTATGACCAAAATGAACACCCAATCTCAAACTGTCAAAAAGAATAGAACTTAAAAGAATCTAGTTCTATAAAATATAAAAATAAATCTGACTCATTATCAATTATCAGGCTATATAATTACTCTCAACTTAGGTGCAATCCACTTTGTGGTTTATATTCAGCTATGTAAGGTAATGAAATAAACTGTTCACTAAAATAGAGTGAAGGTGAGATTAAATGAGACTTTGCAAAGCAATCTTAACCAATCATCTGTGAAGATACAGTAAATAACAAATCTTCCTATTTTGAAACGATGACAGACATATTCTCCATTCCCAAAGATGACACTACTGAAAAGCTTCAAGCATTAATGCTTATTGCCTTAGATGCCATTAACACACAAGCACATCAATGATTCAATATGCTGCTTCTTTAGATCACAGAAAACATCTTATTAACAAGATGTGAACATACATAATGGCATCAAGTTATTTTAACATGACAATATTGCAAAGAATTTAACGTATGTTGAACAGCCCATTTATTGATAGCCAATTTTTTTTTTTTAAATCATTCAATCTGGTTTTTTCCTCCCAGTTTTACTGAGATATAATTGACTACTTGTAGCTAAATCTGATACATTTTACGTTAGGGTGTTCTTCCTAAGTACTTAAAAGAGTTTTCATTCTACTAGGTTAAGCATGCCCCATAAACTCTTACTTACTTTATATATCCTTAGCAAATCTTTTATTTGCATGAACCAAGAGAAACTTCAGACTACTTTCTGTAACAAATTGCAAATTATGGAGAAATCTGGATTAATGAGATATTATACAAATGCTTCCTTTGTATAGGTCTTAATGTTTTCCATGATCTTTCCCTACCCTCAACCCCAGCGCTCTGGTCTGGCTAACTCATCCTTTCAGATTCAGATCAATTCTATTTGTGGGAAGCTTCCTTGTGCTCCTAAGCTGGAGTTAGCTACCCTTGTCTGTTGATTCCACAGCACTATGTGGGTAGCTCTTTCATAGCAATTATAATTCTATATTGTACTATCTGGTTTCCTCCATTACATGATAGCTCCAAACATGCGTTACTGATCTATGTGACCCCAAGGACCTAGTACAGTGCCTGACATGTAGTAGATGGTCAATAATTGTTGGGAAAATGCATGAATGCATTCCCATATGAATAACAAAAGACAAAGAGCAGAATTTCATTTTAAGGAGCTTATAAGAGAATAAAGTTTTCCTATTTCTTCCACATTAGGTTTGTAGGAAGACTACTGGGACAATGTTAGGAAAGTAAATTTACTTGCTTGCAAAAAATAAATGTCTAGAGATCACTGTATTTGCATGTAAAAATGAACTGCTAGGAACAAGAAGGGTTTTTTCCAATAGGTGATGTTTTCCTGGCACCTATTTTCTATATCTTCTGTTAATCAAACTGAAAGGGATTTTAAAATATAATGAACACTTTTAAAATTAGGTTTTTGATAAAGGCTATTCCCTTGCCTACTATTTCAAGGGCTGGGAGGCGCTATAAAATATGAAAGACCTATCCAGTGGTCTGCCCAGAAATACCTTGTATCAAATCATCAAGCTAATAGATGGCAAATCATAAACTTTCACATCTTCTTTCTTCCATAGGAGCCTCCTCAAACCAAATTGTTTTTCTCTATATAGTCTTTAAACCTTACTGCTCAGAGGCACTTGGAATCCTAGAAGTGGCTCAGAAATAGTATACATTTTAAGTGCTCGGTTAGGCCGGCTCTATTTCTCAAAGCCTAAAGTAATCATGCAGAACAGGAAAAAGGGATCCAAGTGTATTCAGTCCTTCTCAATTAACATACAAAAAAGGCATTATTTCCACAGAAAAAATAAAAACATATACTGTCTGATGCTCACCTTTCCAGCTCCCATGAGTCTCAAGAACTTTTGTTTTCTTTCTTCATTACCTAAGTCTGCTGCCTCCCAATTGCTAGATCCAAGCTGGAAAACAAATTAGCCAATTATTTTTTTTTCTTTGCATAATAAATATTAAAAAATTTAAAGGCTACCAATAAATCTCAAGTTTTTTTCCTGTCAGTTTTAATAATAAACGGGGCTCATTCTTACTTAGGAAGTTAAGTACACGCATCATATTTGAATTAAAACATACTCTCTTTCTGTTACCTCAAGGCAGAAGCCTTTGGTTCTCTTGCAGCCAGAGCTCTGGTTCTCAAAAGTTTCCACCTAACAGAATCACCTGGAGGGCTTGTTAAAACACAGTCTGCTGGGTTCCACCCCAAGAGTTTGAGATTCAGTAGGGCTGGGGTGGGGCCTGAGGATTTCATTTCTAACAAACTCCTAAGTGATGATGATGCTGCTGATGTCGGGGGAACACACTTTGAGACCTACTGCCCTGGAGCCTGCAGGGCCCTAGGGCACCTAGTACTTTGAACCCTGATGGCTGCCAGTTGTAAGCTGAAGTTAAAAAGCTCTGGCTTTAAAGATATTCAAAAAGACAATATAACATCAGAGTCTACTGGACCCAGTTTTTGTTTTTCACGTTCTTTTTTGAGCCTTTCTAGTTACTTGTAAGGATCAATATGTTAATGACTTTTATTCTTTCTTACAGGTCTTCCAAAGAACAAAGAGAAAATTAACTTTTTTTTGTTTGGCTTTTTTTTGAGGAAGATTAGCCCACAGCTAACATCCGTACCCACCTTCCTCTACTTTATATGTGGGACACCTACCACAGCATGGTGTGCCAAGCGGTGCCATGTCCCCACCCGGGATCTCAAGTGGCAAAACCCGGGCAGCCGAGAAGCGGAACGTGCGAACTTAACCGCTGCGCCACTGGGCCGGCCCCGAGAATTAATTTTTTTTAAAGAACAGAATAAAACTCATTCTATCTTATAATTATCAAATGGGTCTATTGAACCCTCTTAGAAGTCTAAGATTATTATAGCATCCTAGAGATATTTTTCTCTATATCTTGAAACAAACGTTAAGAATTACTTCATTATAATTCCCTATATCTTCAAAGAAATGTAAGATTTCATTGTAATTCATCAATTATTTCCAACTATGCTAAACATTACTAAAATAAGAAATTAGAAAAATGGTAGAAGAGTTTTCTCATGATGTTGTCTGAAGCACTGCATCATCTTTCAAGAAGATATCACCTCTCTGTTGTATGCTTCTAGCTTTCTTTGGACACAGCTGAGAATTCAGAATTGAAAACTGACAGAAGGCATTTCACAATTATTAGACGAATAAGGTGGTGAATGCAAAATAACAGGTAGTGTACTCTAAACTAATGATGATGGCAAAATTAATTATATATGCAAAAATCTTAGACTATGAGTCTTTGGATGATAAAATACTAGATAACTTTTCTCCAAACCAGGCATCAATGAGACAAAGAAAATAAAAAAGGACAAAAAAGAAATATGGTACTCTCATCTAGGGAGTCATTCAACAGGAAGGACTTCATCTTGCAACATTTTGTAATAAGAGCCTGGAGTATTTTGTTTTTCTAAAAAGATGTGACTGTTTCATTTCCTCTTTTATGATATTTGTACACCAAAGTTTACTTGATATGGTTTGTAAGTGGACAAATGCTGAAGCCAGGTGTGTATACAAAGGTGACCAGAAGGAATGTAGAAATGAAAACATTCGATGGATTACTGATCATTCTAATTGAGTTTATAACCTAAAAATGAAAATGTTTTGCAATTATGGAGCAGACAACCTCCTTTTTCAACACAAAATTATGCGCAAAGGTTTCAAAAAATTCTTCAAGTATTTTATTTTGATGATGCAAATGCAAGAACTACAGTAAAGCTAAAATCTATTAGAAACAGATTTGAAATCTGAAATTATATGTTCCAGTTTCACACATGACAACTGATAAGCAGTTAGCTGTATTCAGAGGATGCTAATCATTTTGGGTATATCTGTCAGGAAAATGTGGAAGAGAAATTTGGTTTGCTATGGTTAAATTCATATTAAAATTCTACAAAGCTGTTTTTCATTGTCCCTTTATTCTTACTTCTGAAAATTATTTGTAAAAGACTAATAGAATATAAAAGAAACTGATGACCATTTCTCCTGGACATATGAGAGTTAAAGTATTTGTACCACAGTGGACATCCACTTACTGTTCTTCTAAATGACGTTTAGCGACGGGCTTAGAAGCTTTCATGCTTTCCTTTCAGCTACATAAGTTCCAAATCGCTACTTCTTTCCACTAACAGCTCATAATCTTTTCATAGACCAATTTAGCTCCTAACTTTTTTTGCCTCAATATAGTTAAAAAAATAAAAACTGAAGTACTAATGAAGCGTAAGTTCTGATTCTCACTAAATTCCTTTCTCTCTGTGAGCCTGGACCTGGGATTTAACTTCTCAGTTTTAATTCCTTATCTACATAGGCTTCTTTAAAAGACTGTCTTAAGAATAACACCACCTAAGACTTGCATAATGTTTTACAACTTACAAATCACTTTTCACTTAGTCTCTCAAGAGACCATTTAATAAATAAGTACACTGAGGCAAAGAGGCTAAGCGACTTGCTTCGATCCTCTGGCTTTAAGTCCTCTGCTTTTCCCACATCATACTGTACATGATCAAATGAGACAGTATGCAAAAGCAGTTTATCAACTATAGTTATAAAAATATATACGCTACAGTTAAAAATAAAGCAATTGCCTAAAAACCAAAATTTTCCCAAACTCTCTATTAAAATTGCAAATATCTTCAAGATCTTTACATAAATAACCTTTCCTTTACAATTTCTAATCCTAATGTTTTCTTCAGTCATGAAGTCCTTCTGGTTCTTCCTTTCAAAGACCTTAGTATACAACGGCAAGTACCTTTGTCAAGAGCTGCATTCTGAAAAGCACATGGGTGCCTGATACATTCTCAGAGGTCTTCCACCAGTTACTAAAATTAACCTCCCCACTCCTCCTATTCCCTAAAAGATAGCTTTCACTTCTCCACTCCAATCAAACCAATGAAACCATTTTTAAGTTGTCTTCATCTTTAATACCCTTTATTATGGAACTGCAATCAATTTACCTCCTCAATACATAATGTGGTAATGCTGAGAATTTACTTCTAACACTGTCAGCATTTTCCTTGAGTTGGATTCCGCGATTTATCATCTACTTTTACTATCTTTTAAAAGATTCTGTTACCCCCATTTACACGTGAGGTCAGTGGGCAAAGAAAACTTCGATTATCTTTTACATTCAATGGATGTTCATTAGAAACTGTCGATCAACTACATATTATAATTAGTTGATTTTCTACAATTTGGATGTATATTTTAAAAACATATTTTAGGGGCTGGCCTGGCGGCATAGTGGTTAAGTTCACACGCTGTCCTTTGGCAGCCTGGGGTTCACAGGTTCGGATCCTGGGCATGGACCTACACACTGCTCATCAAGCCATGCTATGATGGCATCCCACATACAAAATAGAGGAAAACTAGCAGAGATGTGAGCTAAGCAATAATCTTCCTCAAGCAAAAAAAGGAAGATTGGCAACAGATGTTAGCTCAGGGACAATATTCCTCACCAAAAAAAAAAAATATATATATATATTTATATAAAGATATATTTTATATATATTTATTTTTATGTAAAATATATTTAAAATTTTCGTATATATATAATTTAAAAAATATTTTAAAAACAAGTACTTAAAGATAACTCCCAATTACCAACAAAAATAAAATTCATATGAAAGAAACTGACTTAAAAAAAGCACTATTAAGGAACAGGTTACTGTATTGTACTATAAGATAAAATTAGTAACATAATCATTTTTAGATAGTGTGTGAAGGTCCTAGGCCCTAATCCTGAATGGCAACTATAACCATCTCCTTCAAAGAGAATGCTTATAAGACTGGAAAAAAGTCTTAAAGGTCACCTAGCTTAAACTGATTCCATCAGAAGCTGTAGAGAATTAACTTCTTTTAACAACTTTGTTAAATTACCTACTATCACCAACAGTTTTCCATCAAGCTAAAAAGCTTATTTCTCTGAGTCTAGCAAAATACATGCCTGACATTCTAGAAGTCAAGTCACAGTTAAATACCAGGAGGAAAACAATGCAACAGCTTTTAAATGACACCCAGGTCACTCAAAAGCCTAGATAAATGCCCGACAATGACCATATTAACAGAAAAGATATAAAAGCCAGTTGTAGGGAGGAACAGAGGGCATGAATAAATCTCACTATATAACTGTTCATCCTCAAATCTTTACTGATTACTAATTTTTCTGCAAAGCTAAAATCAATTTCTTTAAGGAGCCTTACCATTCCGGACCTAACCCCACCACTCACTCAAAAGGGGTGGGTCTTAACTTCATCTCATTTGCTACAACTGATGCACTCGTAGTAGCCAGTGCGGCTTTTATGGTTAACAAAGTAAAGTATTATGAAAGGTATGGAACTGCACTATAGAAAACGAAGAATTCTACATGTTCAGAAATTGATAGTGCTTTAAACAATAACCGAAATAAAGCTAGATGTCGTCCCTTCATTATCCTTAAAATGACCTCTCCATGCCCCCTCCAGAAAATTTTCCCATCAACGTTCCCACGGCAGTTATCCATTGTGTGAAGGACCAGTTACTGGTTACTGCAGTCTCCATGACATTGCGCTAGGAGCGAGGACAAACACACAAAAAGGCTAGGATAAGCACTATCCTTATTCATCTTTGAATTCCCAACACCTGGCAAAGCAGTAAATATTTAATGGATTTGAAGGAATGAATGATTTGCTATTTAAACTGACAAACTTGGGAGGGCGGAGAGGGAAGGGAGGTACTTGACACCAAAATGGGCTTCTAGGTCTCAACGTCTTAGACCTCACCACCATGCGCCACTACCAAAGTATTCCGCCGGTACAATTTTTCCGTTCAATACTGTTCTCGGTTTACTCCTAACAGTACATTGCCAAAATAATTTCGGCCGGAAAATCCGTCCAAATATGCACGAACATCTTGACATTGTCACAGGAGCATTTTAAGTCTAAAACAGGGAGGGTCTTGCCCCCTCTACCCTGAGTAGAAAGGCTCGACAAAAAAACCTTCATCAGCCCCCAAAGAGGCAAACGTGATTCCCTCACTAAGCCCTTTCACTTCTCGACCATTCTGGATTTCCTTCCTCGATCCGCGGCCCCCCGCCCCCCCCCCCCCCCCCCCCCCTCCGCTTACGCAGGTCTCTGGTCTTCGCATGTGGGCCTCTTCAAACCTTCCGACCCTAATTACAGAAAGGAGACATTTCCCATTCTTCTAGATCCTCCCCCTCGGCCCTCCCCGTCCGGGCCTCAGGCGCTTTTCCTTCTACATCCACCACTCCCGGCCTACCCCAACCTTCAGTAGGCCTCAACCCTTATCCACGCCGCCATTGTTATTTACATCGTCGTCTGGGGAGGCGGAACGCTTCACCCCGTGCGGATGGGACTCCCTGGCAGCACTCATCGTTGCGGGGACCCCGATGCGAAACGCCGAACCGACTCGCCGTTCTCCTCAGTCGCGGCGCCAGCACCCTGTTATCTGCCACTAGCCCAAGAAGCGCCACTCCAGAACGCAGAGCGCCTCCGGGCCTTCTCCGCCACAGTCGTCACCGCTGCGGCCCCTCGCCACTCCGGCGCACTCTGGGAATTGTAGTTTTCTGGCTCTCTTCATACTGGCCTGAACAAAAGAGATGGATAGATGTCTAAAACTACAATTCCCAGCAAGCCCAGCGGCGCAGCTCGCGGGGTGTGGCGGGAGTGCCCTCTGAGGCTCCGCCTTCTTCGGCTAGTGGAGGGAGCTTTCCCGCGGATGGGTATGGCGGTGAGCGTTAGGTGAAAGCTTCGTCGCCCCATGAAGAGGCTTAGACTGAGTTTTGGCATTTCCCTGTGAGACGCTGCCCCTTAGGCAAATGCATCTGTCATGGTTAAGCACCTGGGTTTAAATGTAATGTTTGAGGCTTACTGAATCCTCACAGGTACTTCCCCTCAAGACAAAAACTAAAAAAAAAAATGGCTTCTACCGTTTCCACCCTGGTGGTCCCTATTGCTGGTAGGGGATTTCTAGATGACCGGCGGTGTTGCTTTCTGGAAGATTCTGATGAATATTTTGCCGGTTTCTCATTGTCACCGAAATGAGTTCAATATGGTGTTAAGTGCCAGCTAATTGGCTATTCCTGAAACAAGGGTCCACCTGAGGGAGTTCAGCGAGCTTTTCACACGGCGGCGTGGGAAGTGGGGAGTGACCCCATTTGCACCTTCACCAGGTGAAGGCCGTCTCTGCCGGAAAGCCTGTATCTTTTTGTTTTCCTTTTAAAAAATATACACTTTTTAAAAATTGAGGTGAAATTCACATAACGTAAAATAAACCATTTTAAAGTGTACCATTCAGTGGCGTTTAGTACCTTCACAATTCTGTGCAGCCATCACCTCTATCTAATTCCAAGACATTTTCATCACCCTGAAACGATCCCAGCACCCATTAAGCAGTCCTTCCCGATTGCCCCCTCTCTCCCAGCAACCAGTGGTCTACTCAGAAAGCCCTGTAGCTAAAGCTGTTCTTGAGTTACTGGAAATTTATTCATACTGTATCAACATCTCTGAGTTTTTAATCAGGCCTGAATCTGGCTGCCTTTAACCCTAATATTCTGTTAGGATCTTTGTTCTTGTTTATCCTGAAGCTTTTGGACCTTGATCAAAAGTTTGACTTTTGTTTTTTAAGCAAAACTCAGTAAGTGATGATAGTATAGATCTAGTGTGAGTGTTGGGACTGAAAGCAGTCTGTGAAACTGCTCAACTATTAGCTTCTCATCTCAGCAGTTACTTAGTTTGACCGCCTGTGTAGAAATAGTATTACTTTGCTAGATTTCAGATGATCGCTGAAATATTTATAGAATTGTGACCATTGGAAGACAGTTTTTTAATTTATCCAGTCATATATCCAAATTCTGCACTTTTATTTTGGAAGCAAAAGAATAAGGATACTAATTAGGATAATATGAAAAAAAGATTTCAGATAGGGTCATATTTTATAACCAAGCATGGGCACCTTAATCTGTTAAGCCTCTGGTGAGCATAAACTGCAGATCAAGGAGGAGAAGAGTAAATCCATGGGGAGAAAAAGTATTATTTGGAAGTGGTTGCTTGCTCTTTACTAAGAATTAAAATATTTTAATACTATCTCTGATTCTACAAAGGTTCTATAAATATAATTACAATGAAATTACAGTTGCAGAATTTTCTAGGATGGACTAGCGTTCACCTCCAGAAGGTTTGACACACTGTAATATATACAATTTAAAACGCTTAGCTTTATTATCAATAAACAAATGGGATGGCTGAATAGGTAATTTAGACTGCTACAAGAATTCTGAAATAAAAAAGGTCTATCAGTAAGGTTAATAGTTACTAAATAGTTCTAACTTTAGTAATTGGTGAAAGTCCAGAGAAGTTCAATGAGCTAGCAACATGTCTTTTATTTCTTCACCAGATTCGTTGGCACCTGGATGGCTAAGTCTTCAAGTTATAAAACAAGATCACAAGCCAAAAAGTAACATAGGAAATAATAAAGACTGGATCATGTTATCAGATTTTACTGTTTCATATACAGAAGGCTATCGGTAAGAATGAAATGATACAGCGTAATAGAAATGCATATATGCCACAGAAACTCGATAGTACTGTGTACCAGGTGGAACTCTGAAATACTTTCTTTGGATCAAGACTGTTCCATCTTCATTTTTGTTTCTGTATCTTCCAGCACAATGCCTGCCATAGAATAGTTAAATTTTTTTGAATTAAAGTAGGAAGTGTGAAATTATATAATGTAACAGAGTGGTATCTCATCTAAGGCCCAGAAACTCAGCAATGTTGTTCTTTCCTGGGTAGTAAAGACAAGGAGAGGAGGCCTTATTACTAATAGAACTTTGAAATACTTTCCTGAGGGTAGTGACCATGCCTTCCTCATTTTTTATATACCCAAGGCTTAGCGTGTAGTAGGCGTGCATAAATGTTTGTTGAGTGCATATCTTAATATTCCCTCAACCAAGGGTAGTCATAACCGAGCATAGTTAAAAAACCTAAAGAGGAAATAAAAGCTCTGATGAATACGCTATGTGCAAAAAACCTGGCTGCTGTTTTACCTGAGACTAAAAAAAAATTTCTGGAGCCATAATTATAACTGTTCTTTATTGAATATCCATTATGCACCATATGCTTTACTAGGTGCTTTTTATAATTGCTCTCACAGCTTCACAACAATTTGGAAGAATTTTTATTTTATGGATAATGAGAGTTAAGAAAATTTAAATACTTTCCCATAATTGTATAGCTACTGAGTGAGTGGCTAAGCTGGGATTCAGTCCTGTTTAACTCCAAAAACTCATGCACTTTCCACTGTGCTAATATAACTCAACATTTATATAGGGCACTTAGTATATGAGATACATTGTGCTAAATTTGAGGAAAACCAGAATAAATAATGTATAATCCCTTACCTGAGGAGTTTGCAACTTGGTGGGGGAGGAATGATTAAGTGATAAACCTTATTAATGATAGGGGACTTTTTTTCTTTTTAAAAAAAGGGTTTTAGGGCTTGGCCTGGTGGTGTGGTGGTTAAGTTCACGCACTCTGCTTTGGTGGCCCCAGGTTTTTAGGTTTGGATCCTGGGCACAGACCTAACACTGCTCCTCAGGCCATGCTGTGGTGGTGTCCCACATAAAATAGAGGAAGGTTGGCACAGATGTTAGCTCAGCAACAGTCTTCCTCAAGCAAAAAAAGGAAGATTGGCAACAGATGCTAGCTCAGGGCCAATATTCCCCATACAGACACACAAAAAAGTAAAATAATGGCTCAGTGTTTCATGACTCCCTATATGTATGAAGAATTTAGCACCTTTACTTTTGCCCTATTCTTCCTTCCCTCATTTCCAGGATAATATAATTTAGGTTTAGGTACATATTTTTGTTATTGCATCAATTTTTATATGGCAAGTGTTTTCCATCAATGTTTTCGCATATGCCTTTAGGCTTTTTAAATAATAAGTTTATTGAGATATAATCCACACTACATAATTCACCTATTTAAAGTACACAATTAAATGTTTTTCAATATAGTCACAGAGTTGTGTAACCATCATCACAATTTTATCACCCCAAAAAGAAACTCTGTATCCATGAGCAGTCACTCCCTATTTCCCTCCCACTTCCCCCAGCCCTAGCCAAACATTAATGTACATTCTGTCTCTATAGATTTGCCTATTCTAGCTATTTCATATAAATAGAATCATACAATATATGGTCTTTTGTGACTCATTTCTTTCACTTAGCGTAGTATTTTCAAGGTTCATCCATGTTGTAGCATGTATCAGTACTTTATTCCCTTTTATGGCTGAATAAGATTCCACTGTGTGGATATACTGTACTTTGTTTAACCCTTCATCACTTCATGTGCATTTGGATTGTTTCCACTTTTTGACTATTATGAATAATGCTATTATGAACATTTGTGTACAAGTTTTTGTGTGAACATGTTTTCAGTTGTTGTGGGTAGATGTCTAGGAGTGGAATTGCCAGGGCATTTACTTACTCTGGGGTTAACTTTGTGAGCAACTGTCAGACTGTTTTCTAAAGTGGCTGCACCATTTTACATTTTCACCAGCAATGTGTGAAGAGTCCAATTTCTCTACATCCTGGCCAACACTTGTTATTGTCTGTCATTTTGATTGTAACTGTCCTAATGGATGTGAAGTTCCCTTCAGTTTTGAAACTAAATCTTTGAGTAGTTTTGGGACAAAAGATGAGGTGTGCGCAACACCAAATGTACTAATGGCTGTATATACTGATGGCTTTATGTAAGTCCAGAGACAAAGAAATAAAATCTTACTAATTTTCACCAATGGTCCTCAAACTTTAGTGCACATCGGAATCACCTGAAAGACTTTTTGTGAAAGCTTATGTTGTTGGGCCCTACCCCAAAGTTTCTGATTTAATACAACTGTGATGGGTTAGAAAATTTACATTTGTAACAAGTTTCCAGATGCTGCTGCTGGTCTGAGGACTACATTTTTAGAACCACTGATTTGACAAATATGTTGGTAATGCTTACTTTGTGCCCAGTTTCTTCCTTAAGTGTTTTACATATGTTAATTTATACAGTGTTCACACAGTATTTCCTATTATTATCTCATTTTACAGATGAGGAAATTGAGGCATATACAGATAAAGAAACTTGCTCAAGGAGATTAAGGCATATAAAGGTTAATAACTTGCTTGAGATCACATATCTAAATATAGTGGAGCTGATGACCTAGTCCGGCTCTAGTGTTTATGTTCTTAATCACTGTGTTATGCTGCTCCATGTAGAGTCAATTCACACATGCTATACATGATGTTTACTGAGTGAAAACTTGCGAGTAATCCATTGCCTGCAAATTTGAGATGCTTAGTTCCATGAAAGAATTACTCTCTTTCAAACCAATAATCTAAAAAATGTGCTTGTATCTAGTAATCAATTCATTCATTACTGTGTCCAGCAATTCTTAGAATACTTTTATGTTTATGATTCAGTTTTATTGTAATATAGGATTACTGTGAATTATAATTTTTACACTAACAGGTATTGTTGGCTATCTAAGTAGTTGTGTGACCTTGGCGAGTTGCTGAAATTCTTTGGGCCTGTTTCTTCATCAAACTGTGCTTCTCTGATTTGGATTTAGTTGTATTGTAAAATTCAGATGAGGACAATCATTTCTTAGTTGAGCGGAGAATTCAGTTTAGTAGATGGAATTTTCTCAGTTTTAACGTTTTCTTTCTTAAAATTTTCTCTACTGTAGAAAACTTACTGGTGGAAAACCTCAGAGTTGATCGTGCTTTGTTAACGCTTGTTTCTTCATGGACATTTGTGTTTGTGATTGTGATTTTATATTGCATACATATAAATTACTCAAAATTCCTTTATACAGTTTTTCCTATCTCATATATCAGTAGTTCATGATGATTTATAATTTGCTAATGTTGCATCATTTAAACTAGTCTGAAGTTTCTAAAGTTTGTACTACCTCACATATCTTGTGATATACCTTGATTACGTACATAGTAAGTTCAGAACACTTTACTAAACATTTCTAGGGGATACATAGAAAGGGACACTATGTTTTCCATCTTCAAGGAATTTATGTTTTAATTGTAATAGTTTTAATTCAGTTTACTAGTTAGTAAAATACATCAGGAAAATTTGTCAAAGACTTGGAAATGGACGAAAGTGATTACTGGGTTTCCTTTCAAGGGAATGCTGAATGTCTAGGGACCCTCCAGTGTTCATCTGATTCTAAATGAGTGTGCACTTTTGATCATCTTTGATTGACTAGGCTATTTGACAACTCTATAGGGATAAAAGCTAAATTGTAGAAAACTGAAAACAATGCAAATGTTTTCTGCCCATAACAGTGCGAATGTTTCCTATTCTTGGCAATGCAAATAGATTTTGTCCAGTAGAGAATATAAATCTCTGTAAGTCAAATTCTATTATAAATTGTTTTTCACTTCTTACTGATTTCCTTATTAATTAATCAGTTAAATAAAATCTCTGGCACAACATTTTGACTCTCTTTTGGTTTTAGTGAGTGCTAACGGTATTCCTAGTGCTCCAGGCACCTTTTTTTCCCTTTTTTTTTGAAGATTGGCGCTTGAGCTAACATCTGTTGCCAATCTTTTTTTTCTTCTTCTTCTCCCCAAAGTCCCCAAGTACATAATTGTATATTCTAGTTGTAGGTCCTTCTAGTTGTGGCATGTGGGATACCACCTCAGCATGGCTTGATGAGCTGTGCCATGTCCACCCCCAGGATTTGAACTGGCAAAACCCTGGGCTGCCAAAGCCGAGCACTCGAACTTAACCACTCAGCCACGGGGCCAACCCCTTATGTTTTTATATTTATATGAGAGTTATGATTTTACCATTTTGCAAATTATACTTTAGAATTTTTATCTACTTATATAATACACATATAGTTAAATGTAAGTATATATATGAATTTTTAAGAAGTGCCTATAAGATGTGCTGAAAAGTACTATACAGCACTTATTTTTCAAACTAAGAGTAATATTTTCCTTTGTCATAAACAACGCATGTACACTTAAGATGAATTAAAATACGTTCATAAGCAAGAAGAAAATTAGAAAATAAAAACATTTGCGAATTCACCACCCAGAAATAATAATTCCTGTTAAGGCCTTGGAATACAGTGTATCAGACTTATTTTTTGTATTTATGTAACTTTTCTCTAAAATAGATACAATAGGATGAAATACTGTATCCTATATTGATTTAAGCCTTCTTTCTTTTTTGAGTATATAAATGAGCACCTTTTTGACATTTAGTTTTTAAAGATTGTGTTCAGCATTTCTAAGGAAAGGGGTCTAACAAAGCTTCTTAGCTATTTTAGCTCTAATAACTTTGCAGGTGATGTCATCATTTTAAAAATGAAAGTGTATTAAATAGGTACATGGAATCATCAAATATGGAAGAAATTAAAGGAAAAACGTTTTAATACTCTAAATTACAAGGGTTATGGGATCTTAGAAGTCTGCCTGTACATACATCATAATGAATGAAATCTTTCTCT